TATATATATATGTCTGTACATTTGTGTGTATATGTATGTGTGTAGCTGTCAGAAGTCTTCTGTTCAAGTTTAAGCCTCCTGATTGGCTAATCATCAGGGTCGCCAGAGTTCGAGGTCAGTTCTGTCATCGGCTCTCCCAGTTTAGGGTCCCAGTAGCCCCTGATCTATCCCACAAGGCCCTGCCTTCACAATAGCTCATTGTGTCTCGGTCTGAGTGAAATCGTTATTCTCTTGCTTCAAGAGCTGGAACGTCTCCTGGCCAGGTTTGATGTTTCAAAGAGAACTCACTCAAATGCTCTTGTGGAAGTGGCTGGTCATGAAAATCAAACCTAATATTCGTTCCAGAGTTTTTCCTGGCTCTCGTCTGGTTCTGTTGCGGTCTATAGTTAACATCACAACCTTTCCGTGATCTGTAAATCCTCAGTTCCTGGCCGGATGTTCTGCTCGCTGGGGGAAGTCATTGCTTTATCAGAAACACAATATGGTTTTTCCCTGCGGCTCTATAGTGGGAAGGCGAATGTGTAGGAATGAATCCAGGAGGTTGGGATAAAGAGTCTTTACTAAAACGTTGTTTTTATCCCTTATTCTGACTGGCGATGAAAAGCCACTCTCAGTGTTGAGTTAGTGGGCTGATGTACGGCCGCTCGGGGGCCGCCACTCTGCATGGTAATTATAAACAGTTACACATCGCTCTGGGACCGCAGATAAAAGGAAACGCACAACACAGCTCCATTCTGTAAGACTTTCTAGAAGTCGAGTAGAAAATGTATATTTACTGTCACATATCGACAGCTGACTTTTAGCTCAAGTGAAAAAATAAGAATAGTTGTAATTAAATGCCACAGGGAATTGAAACCTTAATAGCTGAGAGACAAGTTCAAAAGTTTGGGATCAGTAAAATATGTAATGTTTTTAAGAAAACTTTTATGCTCATCAAGGTGGAATTTATTTGATCAAAAATACAGAAAAATAGTAATATTGTGAAATATTATTTTAATTTAAAATAATGGTTTTCTATTTTCATATACTTTAAAATGTATTTTATTTCTGTGATGCAAAGCTGAATTTTCATCAACCATTACTCCAGTCTTCAGTCTCACATGATCCTTCAGAAATCATCATTTACTTACCATCATGTCATTCCAAACCTTTATGACCTTTAATTTATTTCATGAAGCACAAAAGAAGTGGACTAAGAAGTGGTTCATACAGACCAGATTTAGGCCTTTTTTCATAAATCTTGGCAGTTTGAGAGAAGCAAAGATAATTTGTGAATCACTTAAGACTGATCTTCTCAATGAGTCGGCTGATTCTGTTCAAGTGATTCATGCACTCACGAATCAAACTGATTCTGTTCTTCAGTTCAGCTTTATTTGATTCAGTCATCCAAGTGGATAATCAGTTAAAAATGGTGATTGAAATGTTAGTCTGTTTGTCATACAAAGCTATCATATGACTTCAGAAACCTTGGAAATGTAGCTACAGTGTATAACTTGTATAGGGTAATTTTTCATAATTTCATTTTTTTTTAAGCTTCAAAGCTCTAGTCTCCATTTTTTGTAGGCTAATCGCATGAACAAGCGTGACCAGTACACTTCTCTTAAATTTCACCTTTTGTGTTCGGTGGAGGACAGAAAGTCATATGGGTTTGCAGTGACGTGAAGCTGACTAAATTATAGCAGAAGTTCATTTCAGGGTGAAATATTCCTTTAAGAGGAGAATGAAAATGCTAAAAATTATTTTCATTTACTCATGAAAGAAAAGTGCTCCCATTCTTGTATGCATTTTCTCATGCTTTAATTATTTCACTGCGGTAAGCATATCATGCAATTATATGTCTTCTAAAGGCATTAGTTTTTCAACTCACAAAATGAATCTAAAAAGAGTCATTTTCTATTATTCAAGTGTAAAAAGTGTAATTTAATAAAAAGCCATTGTAAGACTTGTAATTACAGCACTGTAATTACATTAATGCAATTTAAAGAGCCTAGACAAATGCAAATGATATCCTTGCTGTTATCATTTCTTTAGCAGCAACATTTTCATAGTTTGCTTAGTGAATCTCACGTGTCTTCATACTTTCTCATCAGGTGTTCCTTCTGGACCAAGAAACGTCATCTCCATTGTGAACGAGACCTCTGTGACTCTGGAGTGGCACTCTCCGCGCGAGACAGGTGGCCGTGATGATGTCGTGTATAATATTATTTGTAAGAAATGCCAGGCGGACCGTCGTTCCTGCTCCCATTGCGATGATAACGTTGAGTTTCAGCCCCGGCAGCTGGGACTGACCGAATCCAGAGTCTTCATCAGTAACCTGCTGGCACACACTCTCTACACCTTTGAGATCCAGGCGGTCAACGGCGTCACCAACAAGAGCCCGTATCCTGCCCAGCACGTCTCCATAGACATCACAACCAACCAGGCTGGTGAGTGATTACTTTATGATAAGATTATGCTTGATTAAACAAGCTTATGCAATCAATGCAGTCCACTGCAGCAACAGAAAAACCATGCTAATGAAGAACCAGTTTAGACTGGTTTACGTTCCGTGTTTAGCATTGAACAGTGTACAAGCTAGTCAAGATGGTTATTGTTGGAGATGCAATGTCTTGACTGGTTCAGTATTTTTATTGGTTTAAATGGTTTAATTGGTTTTTATTGGTCTTGATTTAAACTAGTTTAGGTGATTTTGCTGTTTTGTTTTGTTTTTTTGTTTTTTCTACCAGTGAAAATTTAAAAGGAAAAGTTTGAAAAGAAAAAGTTTAAGAGGCAAAGAGTGACAGGTGTCTTGTGTGATTGCAATATGTTTTTGTAATATTTTAGTGACATAGTAATCTTTAATAATGGTATATATTAATTCTATATAGTAATATAGTAATCTTTAGTAAAAAAAAAAAGGTTGAAAGTTCTCTCCAGCATCAACTCCTGTTATCGTTTTATTATTTTTTAAATTAATTTTTATATAGTAATATTTATACAGTAATCATTACTAATAGTGTGTTTGTGTGTACATATATGTGTGTGTATATATAAACACACACATATACACACACACTATTAATATATATATATATATATATATATATATATTAG